CATTCATGCCAAGCGAGTCACCATCATGCCTAAAGATATTCAGCTGGCTCGCCGTATCCGTGGTGAACGTGCATAATCTGGTTTTACGTCTAAACAAAACCGAAACAAAGGCTCTTTTAAGAGCCACTTAAAAGATCACAGAAGCGCTGAATTTTGTCTCCGCTTTACTTGGTGTCTTGTGTGGGGATTGTCTTTCTTTTCACAATATCCATGGCTGTCCTAGAAAATCAAACTTGCGTGGTAGTTGCATGGATTGTACGCCATGTTCAATTCAAGTGACAAATACAAGGTGTAGAAATGTATGTACATTTATAATAGGAGTACTATACCGTGGTATACTGGTTTAGAAAGCAGACATGACGTCCAATGTACTCTTGCTTTTTTTTTTTTAAATAACATTACTATTGCTATATTACTCAAACAGGTGAAATTACCACTTATGTCCAATTTAATTATATTTGTATCTGAAACTGCTTGATTTCATTGATTTATTTCTAATCTCTCAACAGAAACAATATTTCGGTCACTTTTTCCACAATATCACGTTTTCTATATAGTGGGGTACGTGATCTGTGCTGTGAAATTGATATTTGCCTGGCACACAGAGGTTTATGGTATTAAGACGGTCCCCCTACAGGAAAAATTGCGTCATTGCATTCGGCTGCGAAGCATTTAAGGTGGACCGGAAAATCCGAATAAGGAGCTGCGAATAAGTAGCCAACTTCAGCCTCGTGAATAATGGAGGATAAAATCAGCAGGTTTTAAATCCTTTTGGTGGCAGAAAGGTTCAATGAGCAGTTTAGTAGTGCTTTCAAAATGATGACATGAAGAATGAGGAGTTCAATAGGCAGTGGTGGCTTGGTGGTTAGGGAAGTGCACTTGTAATTGAAAGATTGCAGGTTCGAATCCCCGACCAGCAAGGCACCACTGAGGTACCCTGAGCAAGGTACTGTTCCCCGGGCGCTAAATTAGCTGCACATATGGGTCAAATGCAGAGGACACATTTCGTTGTTGCACACTGTCTGCTGTGGTGTGTTGACAATGACCACTGATCACTTGATTCTAATTCTAATAGGTGTATAAAATCCATGTGCATCCATCCATCTATATGCTCTCACCAGCATCAGGAATAAGACAGCTCTGACCTGTACCTGTTGTTTCTCAGAGGGATCGAGCTGGGAAAGATGTGCACTAGCTTAGGGTGATAAGGGATAATGTATGAAACATACAAGTGAGAAGAGTGTGTTAAGCAGAGGGAGAGATTGAGAGAGCAGTTTGGATGAGGTGGAGATGGTGAATCAGGAAGTGCAGAGGGTAAGCAGGAAGGAAGCAAGGACATGCATGGCTGGAGTCGTCGTCGAAGCCGAGAAAGACACTACAGATGTAATGTTTGCTCTGAGGGTGTTGATGGAGAAGTTTAGAGGTCTGAAGGAGTCAAAGCCAGAGAGGCGAGATTGTGTTGGTTTGGACACGTACAGAGGAGAGATACTGGGTATGTGGAGCGAAGGATGCTGAGGATAGAGCTGCCAGGCAAGAGGAAGAGAGGAAGGCTAAGGGAGGTTTATAGATCTGGTGAGAGAGGACATGCAGGTGGCAGGTGTGAAAGAGGAAGATATAGAGGACAGGAAGAAATGTAAACAGATTATCCACTGTGGCAACCCCTAACAGGATCAGCCAAAAGAAGAAGAAATATTTTACTGACAAACAGGCATTTGATAATAAATCTATTAACTATAATAATAAATCAGATGGTCTGCAGGGTTTCATCCAATGTTTTTCTTTTAACTTTAGCAAATATACCATATTCATATGGAAGCACCACATATCACAGGAACACTGCACCGAATCAGAACAGTCCAAAGACCATAAAAGGTGTAACCTCACTGCTTAATGCACCCTGAGCAAGATGCTGTTTACTGACCTGTATTATGTAATGAGAACAAAGTTAATAGTTATTTTGAGCTTCAAACAAAAATGTGATTATTATTATTATTACCTGTGGTGGACTGGCGGCCTGCCTAGGGTGTACCCCGCCTCTCGCCCGAAGATGCTGGGATCCAGCTTCCCCGCGACCCAGATGGATTAAGCGGTATAGATAATGGGTGGGTGGATGGATGGATTATTATTACTATTATTTTATTATTATTATTATTATTTACAGTGATTGATGCCCCTTTGGCTCTGCCTGAGAATTTCCCTAAGGGCAGCACGGTTGTGTGGGTCTTGCAGTTTCCTCCTTCTGAGTTGGGCCTTACACAGGGCTGACAGCTCTTTGGGGACAGTGGTGACCAGTGGAGGGCTAATTGTCTACCAACGAAGACGACTCTTGCGAAGGTCTCAGGACCTGGCCAGACTAGTGCAGCAGTGGACATGGAGTGCAAAGTTGACAAAGCACAAGACACCACTAAAGTATGCATCGCTCTGCTATCTCTATGCTGGTGACTGTATGGAGCCTGATGGGGCACGATATGTTTCCAGTATCCTGGTGGATGACAGGGAAGTCTCAGGATAGTGGAGATGCATGATTGAGGGAGATTCCAACCTAACAAATCCAGGACACCTCTCTGCCAGCCAGGCTACAGGGACTGGGATTCTTGTCCTTGACTGTCTCAAGTAATATTTTCACACTGCTGCAGGGAAAGTATCCTTCGAGAATGCTGTGCTCCAGTGAGGCAAAATCAATTAAGCCTGTGTTTATGCTGTTTTATAAGCAAAACTTAACTAAAGAAACATACATTTTAAGGGTGTGTTTGACATGTAAACACAATATGTCAGCATTAAAAAATCTTTAACAGGTAACATGCAAACCAATATATGACGCTATTAGCTAAAAATATATTACCACCTTTTACAATGAGCTGTAAAAAACATTTAAATGAAGTTCTAAATCTTCTGTGGTTTTGTAAACCTATTCATATGCCTGCATGAGTTTCTTTATGTCTTTAACCAGTCTCCATGCTTCTGATTCTGGAAGGTGCAGAAGGAACTGTCCTAGGTACTTATTAAAGGCTGTAGACATGTTTGGGGTTGGCTGAAATTCTTCTTGTGGTTTGGTTAGTGTCTGGAGAATAGCAGCGTCGAAAGGGTCAATGTTGTCCTGCTTTCTCTGCTTTTTTGGTATGGTGGTGTTGAAGATCGGCTACATTCAGAAGGACTTGGTGCAGGGAGCTCAGCTGTAGTTGTAGGTGAAGACAAAGGCACAAATGTCCCGCTTGGTCCAGTAATTCCCTGGTCGTTTGTCTCGATAGTAATGGTATTCAGGTCAGCCATGATGTCCAGCAACTTCGGGGGAATCCCGCCAAGCTCAGGATGTTCTACAGGGCAGATCAATCAACAAACCCCGTCGAAACCCTGCAAATATTCACATTTGTACTTTTTTTTTTCTCCCTTTGTCCTGTCCTGCAGCTTTAGCAAGCAGAATCATGGTCTGAATGTACCTGTGCCAAACATGTTTGCTTTATTATGAGGGGATCTATAAACTCTGTATGGGCCCCTCATGTTGATCGATTTCTTTTTATTTTGTTTATTTATTTCATTTTTAGCATTTTTAGCAGATTAGGAGGGGGAAGAAAAATAAATAAAAGAAAAGAACAAAAAAAAAAAACCCAATATGAGTAATCTCCAATTGCTGCATCTGTAAAGGAGAGGGAAGAAGAAAAAAAACAGTAAAAGATCAGAATCTGAAAGAAGTGCAGAAATGGATAAATTCATGAACACAAACAAAAATAAAAAATAAAGAAAGTAACACAGCTATACAAACATGAAAAATTGTTGTGTGTGCTTGGAGAGGTGCGTGCAAATGTATGTACATGCGTGCTCAGTTGTGTAGGCGAGATGTGCGGGCTTGTGTGCGTATGTTGTGTGCGTACATTTTATGCGTGTGTTGTGTGCGTACATTGTATGCATGTGTTTTCAACATGGAACATACTAAATAGCGAGGGTGGGAGGCCGCAACCACACCCCACAAGAGCCAGAGGTCGGGGGAGACAGGCCCAGGATGTCCACAGCTCCCGAAGAGTACGGAAGAGCCAGGGCCCCACGTCCCAATGACAGCCACGCTCCCACCCCAGCCAGGGGAGGAGGGAGGTCCCAGACACAGCCCCCGCAGCCAAAAGGGCATGAGCCCCAGAGAACCAGAGGCAACAGGCATCGGGCGGCCGCTGCCTTACGAGCCAAGGCCAGGGCCCCTAGGACCCCAGGCGGTAGAGAGCCCTGCCCACGCCGGAGAGGCCCGAGCTGCCCCCCGGGCCACCACCCCAAGGAAAGGGGCCAGCAACCATGGCAGCCACAGCCCCCCAGTCCCAGGAGACCAACCGTGCCCAGGATGGAGCTGTTAGCCCCGTACCCAGGCCCACACTGACCACACAGACACCCCGCAGACACACCTCTCAGCCATGCACACAGACCATACACACAGACCATACACACATCCCCACAACATACACAGACACCCACCCACACACAGAGACAAAAAGATATAAGCCCATCCACTCCGGACTGCCCTCCGATGTGTGGGAGAACGGACGTGACTCCCAGCGCCAGCCGCGACCTCAGGGCGCCGCCAGCCGAGCGACCACCCAAGCACCTCCCCCCCGCCATCTCCAGCAGGAAGCCCCCGGGCACCAGAGCCCCCGACCCCTTACCCAGGCCCACACCGAAGAGGCCAACCACCCATCCCAGGGCCAGCCCCTGCCACCACCAGCACTCCAGACCCCACACCCCATGACCACCAGGCAGCACCCGCCCAAGCCCCCACCCACCACCACCAGCCAGGGCAGACACCCAGACATCACAAGATGGCAGCCACAGCCCCCCAGTCCCAAGAAGCCACTAGACGGCCATAGCTCAAGGGCCCAACCCCACCACCCGCCAGGACCACGAGGAGATGAGACCACAGCCGACCACCCCCCCTATATAATGGAATTGGTCAGTGTGTACCAGAGAGAATCCAATTCACCTAGTTGATTTTTTCGGAAGGGAGTAGATCTAAAAGTAAATTTCTATACTGAGTAATACATAAATTGTTTTTTGATTTCCAGTTCATGAAGATAGTTGTCTTTGCAATGCCTAAGGCAGTAAGGATTATGTGTGCCTTATTTCCTTCCATATCTAATTTATTTGCATGACCTAAAATGCACAATGTGGGTGAGGTTGGGATACGACAATTAAACCATATTGATAGATCTTCACATGTCCTCTGCCAGAACTTCTGCACTGATGTGCAGGTCCATATGGCATGCATGTAGTTCTTCACAAAGTTACCTGAGCAATGGGTGCATAAGTCTGAGTGTATAAGGCCCATTTGGAACATCCTTTGTCCTGTAAATGTGATTATTTTTAAGGCTAGTCGAATATTTACTTGCTGAATATTGCAATTTGAAACCCTGCCAATCAGCTGTATTTTTAGATAGTATATTTAAAGTTACTTCATCTGCAGCATTAGCTAAATGTCATCATGCATTGTTATGCAATACATACATATACATACATATATATATATATATAAAAAAACACGTTTCTTTGTGAGGTGAGCAGGCCTCAACAATTTGGAAACAAAAAGAAGAGATAGAAGGTTGTATCAGATTTTGAAAAGCAAAGAAAGAAGTGGACATGACCTAGGTCAGGTGTGTTACACGCTCCTTGGTGTTGGGAACGTCTTAACATTCTACATAGCCTTGAAATGGACCGATAATTTACAACTAGATCTACTTCCTGCAGAACTTTGTAGCTCATTTTATGGATAAAATTTCCTAATCTCCACATGTCTTTCATATTCCAGCTGTTTCTTCAGAAGCAGAAAATCTTTAAAAGACCAGAATCATGTACTCCATGATTTTCTAAAAAAATACAACTTGTAGATCCAAAAGTGTAGTAATAATAATAACAATAGTTTTGAAAGCAAACAGACAAGTTGAAACAAGGCAAAATCCACTAAGTATACAGAGATACGGAACCGTCTGCTGACCAATCGACCTGAAGTTGCTCCATGGTTTCAATCAGGTAGTGCTTACTTGTATAAGAAAGTGGATAACAGCAACTTAATTTACTTTCGTTTTAAACGCATAAGTAACAATGTCTGGTCGAGGAAAGGGAGGTAAGGGGCTTGGGAAGGGTGGCGCTAAGCGTCATCGTAAAGTCCTTCGCGACAACATCCAGGGTATTACCAAACCAGCTATTCGTCGTCTTGCCCGCCGAGGCGGTGTCAAGCGTATTTCTGGTTTGATCTATGAAGAAACCCGTGGTGTGCTGAAGGTGTTCCTGGAGAACGTCATTCGTGACGCCGTTACCTACACCGAGCACGCCAAGAGGAAGACAGTCACCGCCATGGATGTTGTGTACGCTCTCAAGCGCCAGGGCCGCACTCTGTACGGCTTCGGCGGCTAAGCGTGAAAGATACAGCAACGAAATCTAAAGACCCAAAGGCTCTTTTCAGAGCCACACACTCTGTCCTAAAAGGCAAATCAAGTATTACGTGCTATGATCACTGGGTGTTTCGCTTCAGGGCGAACTTTGCACAATGGTGTGGGAATCGACTAGCGATTTTACACTAAGTGGATTTCTGTCCCCACCCTCGAATAAACCGCTTGAATCTGTAGCTATTTATTAATTGCAATGTAGCTATCGTATTGAATATAACACATGAAACGCAGGAGAAGGCGAGCTCGGGAACTTTATTTTGAAGACTTTCCATTAAAGTCGTGTTCTGCCGGCTCAGGTCACAATTTCTGTGCAGGTTATGGTTCTATTAGGCTGATTAACATCCATGGAAGTGTGGCCGTGAATCGTTCGAACAGCTACACTGACAGAACAATATAGTGTCGTAGACTGTGCTGAAATGCTTCAACTAAACAGCGTATGCTTCGGTTTTTTGGTAAATGAGACGTGGTCGTTGTGTACCTGCAGAGAAGTTGATTTGCGTTGATTTCGGCAGAAATCTTGGAGGAACCGAAATATGTTTAATGAGGCCAACAATTTGGGAGAAACACATCTGATTGTTATTTCTGTGGTGGTGGTTAGATGTGCACTAAAGTCTGGCTACCTTAAAATGGCTAAATAAGGCAATACAATAAAATGCATTAAAATACTATTTTACTTTTTGAATTCCTGAGTGCAAAATGGCTGTGTGTAAGAAAAAGGACTTCGTCATAGGAGCAGAACTTAGCCATTAGAATTTGAATGTCATCTGGCGGTCTTTAACTGTCCAATGAAAAGGCTTTCAGAGGTTTCCTTCCTGATTTGCATACGACCATTATATAAGGCGGTCGAGTTATCCAGTACTACATTGCTTGTGTTTAGCAGCAAATAGGAAACATGCCTGAGCCAGCGAAGTCAGCGCCCAAGAAGGGTTCGAAGAAGGCAGTGACGAAGACTGCCGGAAAGGGGGGAAAGAAGCGCAAGAGATCCAGGAAGGAGAGCTACGCTATTTACGTGTACAAGGTTCTGAAGCAGGTTCATCCGGACACGGGTATTTCTTCCAAGGC